GAGAGTGTCACGGGACGAGGATATTTCAAGACAGGTCGTCCGGACCTGTTTCCGAAGGTGAAGACCTGGGGAATGCGATCTAAATTTGCGGTCATCTTGCATACACATATGTGCATATGTGAGTACGTGTGCCGATATGTATGCGCGGTAAGTACATGCGCGCGTACATATGTATCCGATAGCAGATGGCAACTCGATAGCATAGATGCGATGGCATATCCCAGCCGCTGCCTCTATGCATACATGCGAATGCATCCCCGTATAAAGGGCGGCATCGGCTGCTCCTTTGTTTTCCCTCGACATAAGAGCGGCCTACCGGAACAATCGATGCTTCGTTACCGATCCAAACTCGATATTGGCCGTGACCTTGATGGCTACTATAGTGCGCTTTTTCTACAGGTAGGCAAAAAGGGACTTTTTTGCCAGAAACGTGCGGCAATGTCACGTGTCCACGCGGGAGGATACTTTCCAATCTTTTATATGCTTCAATAATTGTAGCACAGCTACACTGAAAAACATTTCTGGTTGAATATGGACGAATCAGATAATTCCTTTAGGATTTACCAGAATTCCTTTAGGATTTACCAGAATTCCTGTAATCCTACAGAAATTCTGGTAAATCCTAAAGGAATTCTGGTAAATCCTAAAGGAATTATCTGATTCGTCCATATTCAACCAGAAATTTTTTTCAGTGTACGTTTCCACGAAAGCTACAAACTTCTATGGCAAAAGGAATGTGAGAAATTCGTCCCTCTTCACGTAAAGGATTGTAACTTTTGAAAAAAAATGGAGCCACCGATTGTCTCGCTATTAGAAAGAATTCAAACTATTGACAATGTATGGTATTGGTAATTGAAGGTATTGTAAATTGCAGCCGTACAAAAGCAGCCAAGCTTTCCCGCACGATTCATACTTTATAATGCATGTGTGCAGTTTGTACGCGAATTCGTTCCGAACACAATAATTTAAGTTTGTAGTACACAGTTTACAATATTATGTTCACTTTGAATATAAAATTATAGAGCAAAACGGACTTTACATGAAGCCTACGCTATTCCCGCGTGGCTCACATACGACATGCGATACGACATGTGTTGTCAATGATTCAAGTGTTCCAAGATATCTGGTGCAAACTTGAAATCGCGGAATTTAAGACTTGCCGCGTGTTCATATGAAGCTCGTTTTAAAATGCAAATATTCCTGAATTTTTTTTAAAACAAAGAGGCTTATCAATAAAATATTTAGAGACAAGTATTTGCACTTGGACACGCCAGTTGTGCGATGATCCGCTTCTGGCGCGTCAAAAAGTGAAACTGAGCCATCGGATAATTATTCCGTGCTAAACGACGCGTCGAATTGTTTCCACTCGTACACACTATCGAGTATCTCTATTTATACGAAGTATGCGTCACGTCGGTAGCGTCTATACAAAGTGGCTGTACCTATCGTTTACCGAAATTGTATATGTACCGGATGCGGAAATGACGTCTTGGTCGTCTGTTCCCGATGTATCTGTCGCATCCACGACGCGATCCGGAAATCCATAACATGTATTATAAATGGCTAATGTCGCTATATCTGCAGTTTATTGCACCGTATGCGTTGAAATCGATAGTAGAACGTGCAACAACGGAGAAGAACGGTAACAAAACATTAACTTTTAACGCGAGAGATAAATATTTATAACGTCATTGCGATAAATATAGCGATTGTTCTCTTCTAGGAAGATTTCAAACTGTCTTTTCGCTCTACGAAAATTAGCAATAAACAATATTGCGTATAAGAATTACGATATAATCTGTACAGTATAAAAATTACATCACTTTTAGATTTTCTGAACATAACTTTCGTCAAAGTGCATCGAATGTGCTCAAAGTTTTACAGCGGACACCTGATAACAGGCGCATCTTGTACACGAAGGGTAATGAAAGTTGACAAAACACACCAAGATTTTCGAATTTCCCATTCGTGCACTTTAAAACTAGTTGTGTGCTCAAACAATCGAAAAGTGAATTAATTTGGGCTGGCACTGTATGTAATATTGTGAGATTGTAGAATAACGAGAAATTTATCAAGCTACATTTTTGGAACTTCTATAAATTCGTCGATTCTTATTATTAAACCTGCCAATCCGATTGAATTGAAAACGAAATACTTGCTCCTCGCTCATTGACGAAAAATAAGTTGAACGAGCGAGGAGTTAATGCCCGCCGTAAACCGTGTAATTCTTAAAAGATATTTTAATACTTTAATTCGACGCAAGGTGAACATCCGTGAGCAGCAATCGATGAAGAAATAAATGAAGAAAGACACGAGGGAGTCCTCGTATCAATCAGCATAGAAATAACGACGCGATAGCGAATCGTTCGATCCGATCCACCCCCACCGCGCGGGATTTCGAGGCGGTAAAATAAATTCAACGCTCCATGAAGTGGAAACCGCTGCGGAAGACAGCGAGGATGGAAAAAGCGCGCGATAGAGCAAACGAGCACGAGTTCTGGAGAACTTGAGCGCTGGATAATTTATGGTGTCGGACGCGAAGCTGGTCCAACGGCGAGCGAGGGGTCAGGGTCGTGCGGAGGAACGAGTTTGCGAGTTCGTCGGCCACTATATAGGTGATGGCTATTTAATAACTTTCCCTCTCATTTCGCATGGCGAAAAAAAAAGGGGGGAAAGAAATTGGATCGCGAAAGATTGAATAACGAGTTGCGCGCGGATCTGATAATCGCAGGCCCGCCGGATAAATCATTAATCTGAGGCCGCGTCGCGTACGTCGCGACACTCGCCCGACTCGAAAGCGAGATTCGAGGAATTCCCATGACATTCCGCCTGGCAATTTCAGCCGGGTGTATAATTATTATTGCAATTATTATAATATATAAATCCCCCTCGACTTCGGGATTAAAATTGAGACGAAAAAAGGTCGCCCTACCTATCGTCCTTGACGCGCGGACTTTAAATAACATTTTTTGTTGCCGCTTAAAACGCTCGCACGCGAAACGTCCACATCCGCTTTTTTTTTCAACGCTGATATGATAATGTATTTTAAAAGTGGATAATAATCGGAGTACCTAGGGCCGCCATCTGCTGGGTACACTTTCTACTATACAGTGTCCGGCTTATCCGGTCTTATGGTAATGGCGGTTTCACACCGCTCATTTATTAAAATGATCGATAATCCTTACTTTATAATGCAAGACGTAACACGCGCCATACACCGAGTCAAACCCAACGATCCATCTTGGAGAGCGTATCGAAAAAAATTCCCGTACAATAGCTACACGTCCAGTTCATGAAACTTCCCGAACAATTGCATCAACGCGATCACGCGACGTTAAATATAAATTACAATACGGCTCGCGCGATACGCTGTACCCCGGCCAGGGGTTGTAGATTAAATATTAAATGTTTCGCAAAACGTTTTCGCTAAGCGCGAAATACGACTTGTTCGAATAGAAAAAGGCGCGCGAGTTTTAATCGAGCACGATATGACACGCGATATGTCACGTAGTGTGAACAAGATTTCTCATTCTCTTCCAGAATAACTTTGTTGCTCTCTCTCTCTCTCTCTCTCTCTCTCTCTCTCTCTCTCTCTCTCTCTCTCTCGTTGTCTTTTTTTTCGTAAATCTACGAGACTTGCGATACTAAACGAAAAATAAATTAGGCTAGAAAATACAACTGCCGATTTCATCAAACGGAAACAAAAAAAGTAACGCGTCCCGCAAATTGCCTTTCGTCGGCAACTCGATATTCAGTGCACTATAAAAATATGTTGTTTACACTTGGACCAAATGACATATACTGATTCTCGAAGTCTAATGACAGTGATCTTTCATATGAAGTTGGCTTCCATATGGACCGGTGCCATCAGGTGCTCATTACACCACCTCTTGTAAATCCTTTAAAATTAAGTTTAGTAAAGTACTCTCACGCGTCGCGCGCGTATCAAGCTTTTCTCAAAATAATCTGTCAGTTTTTTTGCATCGCGGTTAAAAAATCGGGGAAACACACGAGCCATTTGGAAAGTTCTCGAAAAGAAGCGAAGCTCTCTCTTTATCTTCTTATCATTATCTTCGTTTTCTCAACACACTCTCCCTTTCTAGTAACACCAAGACCATTATCCCATTAAGAAACTCCGATTTGTCAAGTGATGCAAAAAAAAATCTCGAAAATCTCTTCTCAGCGGGGAATTTCTTCAACCGTGGGAATAGGTGGAGGCCCAACGGAGTTAAATCAGGCGAACGAGGTGAACGCGGCAACAAATCACACCTCAATTTGTGGATACTCAATCGCACTTCGAGTTTCACTTCTCATTCTCGCTTTCCACAAATCAGACATTCGTTCACAATTCTATAAAAAAAAATTATTCTGCCTGACGGGACAAATGATCGGGACTCTATACGTGTTCAGAGAGGGGTGGAATTTTCCATGTGATATGTGACATTTGTGCGCGACGGTCATACGTAAGTCATTTCGTGAATTTTTAAAGGGTATCGCTGAAATATACCGTCTTTATCCTCCAACATTGTAATTTTTGTACACGCACGTAGCAAGGCTCGGTTGTACAATACCGTAAGTAACGTTTGTTTAATATTCAAGTTCTACCATTCGGACGTTTAATATGCGCGGTTTTAGTTTCGAGACGGCCAAGAGCCAGCGCCTCTCGTGAGGTGATTGGCGTGTAAAAAACAAACGACGATCGTGCGAGTAACCAATGGTCAGCGTAGACTTTGCAAGCGTGAATTTTCAGTCATACACACAACTATATTGGAATAAATCATTCCGTTCGTAAAACGGTATTGAGCGACGACGATTAATTTCTTGATAGCGTTTGTTAACATCCCAGGGGCAAATCTTTCAAGAACGCGAAAGAGTTTATCGAGCTGGCGAAGAGGGCGAGGTAGAAAGTGAAATATAAAAAATGTAGAGGAGGGTCGCGCGGACTAAGAACGAACCCAGCCGGCCTCCATCTTGCGGAAATCAGTGCCGACGATACTCACTGCCAAGATAATCCGCCGATCCCTTCTCGCAGCCGATCCTTGAGGCTCCGTTGCCTGGAAGGGATGGTGTCTTCCGGTTTAATGGGCGGCCCGCCGCCGCCACCGCCGCCGCCACCGCTGCCGCCACCGGAGAACAACGCCATTCCTTCCGCGTTCCGATAGCGCCGATCGTCGAATCGATACACCCGCGACACACCTCGCGATCTCCCCGATCTTCCTCGATAGTTTCACATCGCGTAACGGACAGGCGCGATCGTAGACGCCGCGTGAGGCACGCGATATCCCGCGGGATGGCCGTTCGCGACTCGTTCCACTCGAGATATTTAAGAGCCGGGCCCACGCTGGAGAGCTGGTCCGGTTGCCGATCGGCCACGACGATCCAAGCTTCCTCCTCGGGCGGAAAAACCCGCGCGCGGGCAACACTCGCGAGAGCGCGACTCCGGCGAGGTCCGACAGCGGTTATCGCGCGTGCACTCGGGTCACATCGGCGAAACACCAACTCGCCGATCCGCGATCATCAACGAATCGATCGGGCGATCCACTGACGCTATTCGCCGCCGACGACGACGAGCGTGTCAGCTGCGCAGACAGACACCAACGAGCCGCGAACGGATCGCGGCCAAGACGACATCTGATGATGACCGTTGGCAACGACGTCACTCACCTCTCTTATATTTCCCTCCGCGTCTCGCCTCTGACATGGTGCCAATTGTCGCAAATCCCCGGCACACCACGAGACTACAGGAGCGACCAAATTCGGTTAACTCTTTGACAAGCGCGGGCGCGACAATGAAATCACCTCTCGGTAGGGGCCCGTTCGTTTTGGGGGATCGACGACGAACAGGGAAATCCGCATGCGTCCGTATGAAATAAATACTTAAGAAATTTTTCCAAAGCCTAGGCGCACTTGACGGCAAGCAGTTTTACGCTAACGGATTGTCCCAGAGATGTTTATGAGACTCTCGAAATGTAATCGACAAGGGCCTCGGAGTATAAAAGTCCTAAAATATTGCTAATTTTGTCAAATTTCACACGTTTAACGGTATTTCATAAATTAAATTATCTTAATCCACTACGAATGATATTAACAATTTTGCAGCGTTAATTAAATATCGTAACCGATGGATGATAATCCAAAGTATAAATAACGTGCGCGCTGTTTAAACCAGAGAAAGCCTCTTTTATGAAAGTCTCATAAAAGATTTAAGTATTTAATATCCCCCCCCCCTCTCTCTCTCTCATAAGATTTATTCTCTTATTCTCATAGAATAAAAAATTATTTCATGTTAGAGAACATCTTCAGTAGTTGAGAAAGAAATTGCCGGATAGGATTTATCGAGCAATCTTTTATCTTTACGGTTATCCATCGTGACGTAATCTCTATTACAGTTGGTATACCGACTTAATAATTTATAATTAATTACTGGAGCGATATTTCTAATTAAAAACTCAAAGTTATCGCGAGAGAAAAAAAGACACACGCGCATGACAAGCGAATGAATCGGCCTGTACAACAGTGAAATAACGTGGGGATGTTACCGATGAGACCGAAAATACCGGTGTCGCATAATGTACTCACGCGTCTCCGCGCGGTTCTAATCTATGCGTTATCTCGCGTCGACGGTACGCGAGAACTGCGCACTCATCAAAATAATAAAGAAACGCGATTGAGAAATGCATTAATCAGCGCGGTTGAAAACTAACAGGCGTGGTGGTTACAAAACATGTTTTTCGACAACCATTGTGCTCCCTTCGTACCTTTAATCATCGCGCCATGAAACGCACAGTGTTTTACGTCGAAAGGGTACTTGCGAACAATAATTAATCATTCGTTGTTTATTAGCGTACGAGTAGTGTGTAAATTCCAAAGAGATCGCCCGGGTTTACAAACGCGATCCGTCGTTCGTCGTTAAAACGCACACTTCTTGTCGATTCGCCGTACAAGTACACGGACGGTCGAGGATTGAGGGAAGAAACGGAGGGTAAAAGAGGTGATCCGCGAAGGAACTGTCGGGGGGAGGAGGAAAAAAAGGGAGAAGCGCCGTTAGGAATGCCGAGAGAAACTGATCGCCGAAGATGGATCGAACGCCCTCGTAGACGAAACGACATCACGGACGTACGCGATAATCAATCAATCGATCCTCTCTCGACAGACAGCTCTACTCGCAGGATAACATAACGATCTACGGATGTTCTTGCACCTGCAATATGAGGCTCTTCAAGGGGGAATGGATTGAGTTTGCGATACAGTCGGTAACGCGATTCACGTGAAATATAAAGCCGCTTTACGCAGCGAGTCGTTTATGTTACAACTTATTTTTCTCCGGTATTTAAACACTTCGTGGGGCTGATTGCTCCTGCGAGCGGGACGGCTCGCGTAAAATAAAATTTAAGAAAAAAAACAACAAGAGGATCTTTAATGCATCGACGTGTACACGACCATCTTGGTTCTAAAGGCAGAGCCATCAAATCGAACATAACAACCTCGGTTAAACTTTATTACATCGCGCTGCGCGCATAGTCAAGGCCGCGACGATGATAACAGCCGATCTTAATTATATGGAAATCGAGCGGAGTCTTATTGCTCAGTTGAGACATAATGATTTCCTTCGGAACAGCTGCGATCGTCCGAGTAGCGTAATGATCAAAGTCAAATCACAATGATTAAACGACGGAATAATATTTGGGTAAAACGCCTATCGAAATATTACGTTAATTCGGCAAAGACGATAAGCTTGTCCAAGCGATTGTTGTAATATCGTCGTGATAGCAGGATAATTTTATTATAATTCCGTCACATTTGTGCGACGGCAAACTAAAAAGGCAATCTTTTTAAATGCTCTTATCCGGTCGCGCTGCGAAATACCTACAATTTGCGTTTTACAGCGGCATGTTGGAAAATTGAATGATTAAGAAAGTTAGATAATCTCCGAGAACAAAGTGAATACGTGGCGCAATTTCAAAACGTTAATTCCCGCGTGTGACAACCGTTGATACATAAAGATAGTTTATCGAGCACGCTCGATGAATCGGAACGAAAAGTTTCAAAGTAGCTATCTGCTTTCAGGATCATCGTACGTTTGTCTACCCTATACCGGAGGTAGGTACCTACGTCAGCGTTTCGAGAGCCGCTTCAATGGCCTTGTAACATATACAAAGGGCGACCTATAAAATCCGCAACACAGTTCAGCCGACATTACAGCGAAAACTCGACTACAGGGAGTTAAATGTGGCGGCGAATTTTCCGGTGCGGAAATTCCCATCGTTGCCGATACGACGACGACGAGCTTTTGTGCCTCGCTCAAGGGCGTTACCAAGGTTAAGGTCACAATCAAGGTCGTGCCAGTAGCAGCCGTTAATCCCGGTCCTCGTTCCTCGTGGCGAACACACCGGCCTACGCCTCTCCATGTCGAAAGCCTCCCAGTATTGATCTCCCTTCGCCCACCAAACCCGACCAATCCCAGCTGGCATTGCATGGTAACCAACACGCTCCGCCACGCTTTCCGAAGAACCAACCTACCGCGGGCTGTCCCTACTACCTGGGCATTCGAAAAATCTCGTGATAACCGATACTAAAGCCGCGATTTCGTCCGTCGGCACGACGTGCCTCTCGTGCGTATCCTCGGACGTCGTCGACCTTCGCTCAAATCGCGTGACGATCGTCATCAGGGATACATTCAATCTACGATCGGTGTTTAGGCGCTGCCTGTTAAATTATTTATTTGTCGGTTTTTACCACGGCCGTTCATTTAACTCGGCTTTAACGAGAATTGACAAACTAATAGAATCGCCGTGCGTTAACGTTCTACAGCGATCGGTTGGCCTTCTTCAATTTAGTTAATCTCCTTTTTAAGGTAGAAACTAAAACGGGCATGCGAATCTACAATATTTTTAAGTAAGAATTAAAACTAAAATATATAACGCTGACTTTTCTTCTAGAAAGCGAATAAACGGATTTTAAATGCAATCGAAATGTAAGCAGACGCACGTATCGTAATTTTATTTGAATTGTTGCTCAAATAAAATGGGATATTCAAGACATTATCTCTTTTGTAGAATTAATAAAATATTTAAGTTCTGGTAACATCAGGTGAAACGCGACCTTGACACGTCTAAAGCCACGAAAGCGGGTCATTCTCACGCATTCCCTTGAAACTCCTACACTTACAATTGGCCCACCAAGATGTTCTAGGTATTGCGCGATTGTTTCGGAAAGTAGGCCATACCCGGCCTACTGCACTCGTAAGGACACTGCACCTGCGCGTCGCAGCATCGCGCGGGTCCGTTGAGTGTACTCGCGCTTCCACAATTTGGTCTCATCAAAATTTTACGACTCTTATTAACCAATTTCGTGTTTTCAAGCATCATTATATTTTTCAACATTTGCTCTTCTCGTTAATACTTTCGCCATTATCTCCGCTACCTAACTCAATTGCAGTAAAGAAACTTGAGTTCAAATGGAGTTATATGCGATTTGTGAATTGCAAGATTGTGCCTGATTACCAATTGCCAATCGATACTAAAAATATTTACCTCGCGTGACGTCCGCAAATTGAACGAACGATCGAATAAGCGCCACTACAAAAAAAAACCGCTCGAATAGAAATTCCTAAATCCACACAAACGATTCAACTAACGGAACACGATAAACAAGACTGCATGAATCAAAGGTCATTTGACAGCAAATACTTCATTGTAAGCTGCTGATCGTATTAAAATGTAACAGTCTTTTTTACGAATTAATGCGTGGCCCCTCTTACGGCCTTTTGTGTACGTATGTAAAATAAATAACGTATGCAATATAAATAATATTTAAATAAATGTTTTTTTTTTATATAGAAGGGAGAACAAAAACTGTAGATTTCGCAAATCCGCTAAATGCACCCGAGCTTTTTACACGGGAAAAACGTGAGTTTCATGTTAATTGTACCGCTACATGTGTGCGTATGTTTTTTCATAAACTCGGAAGAATAAATTAAAACGTGCAATATGCACGTTTGCATTGTATTAGTACATATTGCGTATTGAACATCACGAATACGCTTGTGCGTGTGTATGAAATTGCAAAAACAGCTGCTAACAATTAAAAGAAGGCATGCCTGCCATCGTTCATTCGCGCAATATTTTTTCCTCTCGCGGTCGCGACGTTATGTAATTT